CAGGAGCAACATCCAGCGTCAGTCACCATCAATGAGAGGGATTTGAAAGAGGTTACTTCATTCACTCACTGATCTAGGGAGCATTGTCTCAACTACAGGCACTAGGAACGGACGAGGATGTCGAATCGAGCGAGAATCGGGAGAGAAGGCGAGAAACGCACACATTCATCAACCAACCTGAAACCAATCTGGAAGTCTTCGTCACTCAGCCAGCATCGACAACAAAATTCAGTCGGATTTTCAATATAAACAGCGTCAAGTCAGTCAGTTCTTCTATACGGATCAGAAACTTGGCGGGCGTGTCACAAACGATATTTCCAAAGGGTCACAGGCCTTTATTAACAACTGTCTTCGCTGGCTCTATACTGAAGATCAGATGGCCGGGCCGGGCCGGAAAGAATCACCGACAAGGAACTAAGGGAACAAACAAACAAAGCAAGAACCAATCGCCAAGCAACAAACATGCAGGAGAAAGTGGAGGGAGATGGATTGGACACTCGCTCGCTGAGGAGGCCGCCGGGTGACATCGCGCGCGCATCAGGCCATCGCTCGAGTGGAACCAGGCCGAAAGGGAAGCGGCGTGTGGGACGTCAGTGCAAGGTTGACATGGAGGAGATCGTGTGAAGAGTTGAGGAGTTGAAAGAGTATGGACTAACATGGATGGAGGCGAAAAGTACAGCAGGAGGTGGACAGAAGCAAATGGAGACGTGCAGTTGAAGCCGTATGTTCTACTAGGAACCCAAGGGAGCAGTAATAATAATAACTGAGCAACTGCTATGTCCTTGGTGGGACTCTTCAACACTGAGCATCCATAACGCCATTAGGAAGAGATATATGTCAGTAATATTAGCTGACAGTTGAATTCATGAGACATCGCATACTGGTGACCCGTTATGGTGAAGGGTTTTGCCTCAGAACCTGAAATTTCTCGATTCGATTTCTGATGTGGTTATGAGTGCGTACTAATATATGTATAAAACTTGGGGACACTGTGTTGGTAGTAAGTAATTCCGTATTAGTTTGTTTATTAGATGTATCACAGTGAGTGAAACAGTATTATTATTTACAGGATGACAAAGTTTCAAAGAAAATTTTAAAATTGTTCATAATCATTGCATCAATTGTAATCACACGACTTTTATAGTTTTTTTTGTTTTCTCCTATTTGTCGTCGTTGGGGTAGTAGAATTTTCTAGATATCTGGGACAGATGTTGAATCATTCCTGTTACAAGTGTTGATTTGCAGTTGATTCGATATTATAAAGCTTCTGTTATCAATCTCTATCTATACCTTGTGACATTAGATTTTAAAACTGTCATCCTATCCCATCCTGCTTCATGGCAGTGTTGTGTGTAACTACATGTAGTGCTATAGCTGAACTATTCTCTTGATTCCGTATTTTATTCGGGTCAACCAATCTAGATTTTGCTAGGTTTCTATGCTCGGCTAGTGTGACTGCCCCTGTTCTACTAGTTTGACCTATGTATTCAACCTAATAATCATTCCAGAAGGGTATTAGATAAACTAAATTGTTTTGTTTTAAAGGCTCCACAAGATCCTTTAACCGACAAAGCTTGTTTCTAACTGAGTTTGTGGATGGCTTGAATACCATTTTTATTCCTGCCTTGTTAAGAATTCTGCGTAAGGTTTCTGAGGTTCCTTGTTTGTATGGAATCACTACTGATGAGTTAGATTTCTTATTGTTGGCGTCGTCATTAATATTATCATTATTATCACTATTATTATTATTATTATCATTATTAGAGTTATTATTATTATTATCACTATCGTTACTATCATATATGTGATTCATCACCTGTCCCTGATATCTGGAAAATTCTACTTCCCCAACGAAAAATAGGAGAAGACAGCGAAAACTATAAAACTCAAGTTTCAAAGTCGTGTGATTACAATTGATGCAATGATTATGAACAATAAATTTTGTTCGAAACTTTGTCATCCAATAAATAATACTGTTTCACTCACTGTGGGATAGCGTCGGTGGTATAGTGGTTAGGACGCTCGCCGACCATGCACATGGTCCGAGGTTCTACCCCCGGCCGACGCACTCCTTCACCTCGCTAAGCCAGAAAAAATACTGGTAAAGAGGAAAAGTTGGGCATGAGGACAGCAACCCCATCCTGTAAAATAAACACTGCTACAGAAACTTCAAGCCACTAGCTTGAAGCCCTATGTTCCAATTGGGAACGTAAAGGAAAAAAAAAGACACTGTGTGATATATCTAATAAACAAACTAATATGGAATGAGTGAGTACTGTTGGCGAGTTCAAAACTAGAATGATACAGCTGTACATCAGTTCTCTCTGGTTCTCAGTGATCATCTGACTGGTATCGGTTTGTGATCTCACTTGTAATCATTTAAATTCCTGTAAAGAAAAATGTTTGAAAATACTGTGCACCCTTAGATTATGGTGGCTTTCAATGACTGAAATCAGCCTAATTTGAGTCCGTTATAGACTTATTGCGAATGTCAAATAAAGTACACGTCTTTGCTTTCGGTTAGTGCATAGAAAGAGATGAACTGAGGTAGAATCTCGTTTCAATTGCTACATTTCAGATTACTGCTTCAAGGATGAATCTAACTAACTGATAGGGACAAATAAAATTGAAGCACTATTACAATACAATACAAAATCAGAAGGAAGAATATATATGTATGAAAACATACGTGAAGACATAGCCTGAAGATATTGGTTTTATTTCACTTATTTTTTTGGCTTTATTTGCCTAAGGGCTTAAATTAGATTTTCTTTATTTTTGACAGATTACACAGAAAAAAGATGCAGCGTACGCAGAATTTTTTGAATACATTATGAAGAACGAAAGAGTAAAGTACGCAATACTGAAATCACTGCTTCTTACCACTTCATACAATAAAATATGCAGTCACTGATTGGCAGTCATAAAAAATATCATGTTAAAAAATAACGAAATCATTAAAGCTTACTTTAAAAATAGGAAAGGTTTGATAGGATTTGATTTATCTCAACTTTGATCACACAGTAACTTCATTTGAAAAATTTAAGGAACTGTTGAACAGTTGTTTCGTCCTAATTTGTGACTCTTTATTAGTGTGCAAAGATGCATCCTGCCAGGGGATCTAACTCAAGATTGTTAGGTGATAAGACGAGCTCGTTGACCATCCAGCCAATGATCCATCAACTCTAACTCCTGTTAATTCACGGTATATAGAGAAACCGCCAACTTAAGTCAACTGCGGATACGTCTACTGACACTCAACTTCGTGGGATTTGCTGGTCACGGCTTCTCACGAGAACCTCACTGACTGACTACAAGACGGTGAGAAGCCCAGTACGAGCTGAATCCTTCAACTTGGGCATGAGGACTTATACTCGCCAATAACACTGGCTGGAGGTCGCACTAAATATCGCGAGTTGATAGAATTTAGAATTGGATGGTGAATAAGCTCGCCTTATAACCTAACAACTGTCCTAAGTTCTTAGTAGCCAGTCATAAGGCCGAAAAGGGAGGCAAAGTTGAGGGTTGAGCTAGCGATCCTATCACCAGAAAATTAATCCACTTGCTACAGAAACTTTAAAGCACAGAAAAAATGTTTAAAAAAACCTTATTCTTCACTGGAATAGTACAGATGATGCAGGTTGGTGAAAGTCTTCGGGAAGGCAGTCAACCGATGTGTATCCTTTAGATTATAGCAAAGATAAGCTCGTAGACATAGAATATTCACATTCTGTCTGAATCTACTAAGGCTATTTTGATTGTAAAAGGAATGCAGAAATACTCTATACAAGTGTTGGGAATATTTGAGAGGAAATGTAGTGTTAGTGGATTCTGCGAAATGATAACTAGAGAGTTGGTGATCCACTTCAGTCACCTAGACGACAACCACAAGCATAACGAGAGAGTGACTGTCATCATCTCAGCCCCCCATCTAAATCCTTTCTTGTATCAATCATAATCCCACTAAATCACAAGGATAGGATGTGTTTTTTTTAATTTACGATGATTGTCATTGATGTGAATAAATGCTACCATTACTGCTGCATTTTTGGCGGTTTTGTATTGATGTGTCTGGGAGATTGGAAGGTGATTCAGAGGAATTTTCAGTAGCGATGCTTCATCAGGTTTCAACTGAATATAATTTTAATTTGTGCAAACTATATTTAGAGCTTTAATTATTTATGTAACATTATCGAAAATAAGCAGCATATGTTTACAAAGCATTTTTCGATGAATTCATAAAATTTTAGTAGCACCCCTCTGGTGAATAGTCTGCATACAGTGTTATGTTGACTTATGAGAAATGCATTCTGAGAGGTGTGTGGCCAGTAAATAAATTACAGTGGATTAATCAGGGCAAAAAGGAAAGTAAAAATATTTTCACAGATAAAGGAGTAAGAAGGGGTGTATGATAGATTAAAAATCAAAATCATAATGATCTAGGTTTTCTTTCCTTCACGTTCCCCAGTGGAACATAGGGCTTCAAGCTAGTGGCTTGAAGTTTCTGTGGTAGTGTTTAATTTTATAGGATGGTGTGGTTAGCCTCATGCCCAACTTTTCCTCTTTACCAGCCTTGTTACTGGTTTAGCGAGGTAAGGGAGTGCGTCCGTGGCCGGGGATCGAACCCCAGACCATGTGCATGGTCGGCGAGCGTCCTAATTGCTGTACCACCGACGCAATGCTCCAGGTAATTTCTTAAAATATGATATAATGCACTCATTTAGGTACAACCATCTAGCCACTCTCCATAGTGATAGATTCAAAAGCATCTCGTCATAACCTTCACAATTCTTTGACATCTAAGATCATCTCGTTGATTGATGTTTATCATTATTATTATTATCTAAACCTGATGATCATTCAACTATCTGGCATATAATATATAGAAAAAAGACCGATCATAAATGGATAACATGAATAGGTTACAGCCAACATTTACACGGAAACATGCATAAATTTGATTATAGTCTTATAAAGTATAAATCAGAGTAGAAACTTACCGCAAAACGTGCCAATATATTCGCACCAGCACCTTCACCGAAAAGAACGACTTGTTTTATTCTAGAAAACAAAAAAGCGATATACGTCAGTGACTTAAACTTTTAACACCTATAAATAATGTAAGATTTTATGAAAAAGATTTACATTTCTTTAGACAGATTGAGTTCCAACCGACAGCTAATAAACTCTGCAAATGTTTGACCTTACACGAAAGTTCTTGTCAGTCCCACCAAGTTGGAGAGGTCGCTTCGAAACCCGTTAGTTTCAAAGCCGATCTCAGCATAGTATAAGTTATTTACATTTGGATTGGGGTCTCAGAGCAAAATCAGTCTATCTGTAAATTTTGTTGTTCCACAGACTACGTGTGTCTCTCAAGTAACCAGTAAGCTAGGCGTTCCAACTTTTCACTCGAAGAAGTGAAGACTAGTGAAATGTTGACCTCAAAAATTATACACCCTGAATTATCCACTAGTGGTTCATAGCCTACAATTTTTGAGCATTTTTTTTCACCTTATTTGGTTAAGATCAATGCTAGTTTTTTAAGGGAGTATTACAAAATGATTCCTTTTAAAGTCGAAATTAATCCTTAACGATTTAAAAGCCTGACCAGAGCTAAGTAGGACACATTTGCTGTCACTTTAATGCATGTTTTGAAAAAATATGTTAATTTTATGCAGTGGTTGTCAGTCATTTATTCGGTTAAACCATTACTGGTTATATACAAATCAGCCAGGAAAATAAAAAGTTAAATAGAGCAGAGACAACAGTTTAATGCTTCAGGGAATGAATAATTCTCACAATCATCTTAGTCTGTAGAGTATACTTTTTTAGAGTCAATCGAGCCGTCTGTTATATGTCAACAGATTACTTCTCGTAAAACTTCATTTGCATTCAAATTTACAGACTTTGTGCCCTTCTTTTCTCGTGAATATTTATTTGTCTAATTATCCGAATAAATACTCAGTCTTTTTAACAGCTCCTAATTTAACAAATTCTATAGTTATAATAATAGTGATGATAATAATAATAGTGGATTTAGTCCGGACAACAATTTTTATCTAGGATAAAAATTTTAGTATGTTTATGTACGGGGATAATTTATCTCATTATACAAAGAAAAAGAAAGCGGCTAAATCGGGAAAATTAAAGTTAACAGAAAAATACTATGTATATATGAGCAATGATAATCTTGGGAAAACGTTAATGTTTAGTTTACACAGCATAAAGTTATTAGTTATCTTCTGACAATGTTCTCTTCATCCTACATTCCAGCTAAATATTATTATTATTGCTCCCTTGAGTTCCTAGAGGAACATACGGCTTCATCTGCACGTCTCCATTTACTTCTGTCTTCTGCTGTACTTTTCACCTGCATTCATGTTAGCCCATACTCTTTCAACTCCTCAACTCTTCACACGATCTCCTCCATGTCAACCTTGCACTGACATCCCACACGCCGCTTCTCTTTCGGCCTGGTTCCACTCGAGCGATGGCCTGATGCGCGCGCGATGTCACCCGGCGGCTTCCTAAGCGAGCGAGTGTCCAATCCATCTCCTTCTACTTTCTCCTGCATGTTTGTTGCTTGGCGATTGATTCTTGCTTCGTTTGTTTGTTCCCATAGTTCCTTGTCGGTGATTCTTTCCGGCCCGGCCCGGCCATCTGATCTTCAGTATAGAGCCAGCGAAGACAGTTGTTAATAAAGGTCTGCGACCCTTTGGAAATATCGTTTGTGACACGCCCGCCAAGTTTCTGATCCGTATAGAAGAACTGACTGACTTGACGCTGTTTATATTGAAAATCCGACTGAATTTTGTTGTTGATGCTGGCTGAGTGACGAAGACTTCCAGATTGGTTTCAGGTTGGTTGATGAATGTGTGCGTTTCTCGCCTTCTCTCCCGATTCTCGCTCGATTTGACATCCTCGTCCGTTCCTAGTGCCTGTGTAACAACAGAAGACAAGGGCGAAGCAACAGATCGTTTTATTATGAAAATCAACACGTATTTATACATCTTTCAACTACATTATTATAGACAAGCGCAGTCATCTGATTGGTTGTTTAGGTAGACAAACGCAGGCTTCTGATTGGTTGTTTCGGGATTCCTTGACAAATAGAGTTCTCTCTGCGAATCATATTTTGCCACGTTAACTTTGCTGTGATTGGTTGTTGACTCAGGCTTGTTCATATTTTCTCACGGCCCATATTAGTGACCTAGACCTTAACGTAGATTAGTGCCAACCAATCGGCTAGCAGCCTGCTCTCACCACACCTGTTGTCGAGACAATGCTCCCTAGATCAGTGAGTGAATGAAGTAACCTCTTTCAAATCCCTCTCGTTGATGGTGACTGACGCTGGATGTTGCTTCTGTTGTTGTTGTTGTTGTTCGTTGGTTGGTTATTTTCATAACCTCCTCCGTGTCTATGTTCACCTGGAGTCCTGTCTTCGCCGGCTGCTTCTTCGACCATTTTGTCGGTCGGTTTTCGCTTGTAAGTCTTCGAGTTTGTGTGACATCAAGCATAAATCATCCACGCGCGAAATCCAGGTCTTCTGGATTCTTCACGTCAATCCAGGATAGATATCCCCGTCTTCTCGTTTCCCACTCACTGTCTGTCGCATAATCCAGTCGCGTACCACAATTAGGAATATCATTGGCGGATGATAATAAGCCAGCACCCTTGTCTGACTCCTGTGTTTACTCCAAACGCCTCGCTGAGTGGGTTTTCCGTTGTGGATGACTTGACATGTTCCGTTGTTGTACAGCTGTTGAATAACTTTGATGAATATTTGGGCGCTGCACGCCGTAGTACTCGAGTAATCCAGCTTAATTTGATACGGTTTAATTTGTTTTCTAAACTACTCCGTGTGAGCATAAATCCTTATGAAAAGTTTTTTTCTGCTTTCTTTTTGAAGAGACACGAGGCGAAAGGATGTTGACCATCTGATAATAAGATGACTTCGACCGATTGCCTGTAATGATTAAGATGTTTGTTAACAGAAATATGAGTTAGTTGGATGAAAGTTACACCAACCTTTTGTAAAAAAAAGTCTTCCAATTCATATGTAATCTGACATAATCTTTTATGAGGAGCCCAGAGAAGACGGTTGAAAACAATAAATTGGATTCCATAATATCGATATAAGTATAAAACTTGGCCACTGTGATGGCAGAGTATAACTCCAATATGGATAAGATTTTGATCTGATAAATCATACAGTGCTGTTATACACTAATATTAACTGATGACCACACGTTTCGAGCACAAATTATTGCCACTCATAATCATATCAAGTCATCCACTCACACAACGTTTTCCTTCGATAATACAAGAATAACTCAATTATTTTCGATTGCACACTAGTCAGTAAGTAGTGTAGTGTGTCTAGTCCTATCTTTGGTGTAGACTGAATTCTATCAGTCAAGTTTGCAATGTGGTCACCATGCTAGATGCCTCATTATTACGGTGCACCGTGAAATGTTGGTATTAGATGGTTGGAGAAGAGCCACCTAGCATGGTGGCCACATTGGAAGCATGACTGGTGGAATTCAGTCTACACCGAAGATAGGACTAGACAGATTACACAAGTTACTGACTAGTGTGCAATGAAAAATATCCACTACAGTCCTACAGGATGATAAACGCGGGCCTGAATAGCTCAGTGGTAACGTCTCTGACTGCAGTACTCACTGAGTGACGCGGGTTTGAATCTCAGAAAGGACATGAGTTCCTTCAAGGTTGCAGATACGCCTTGCTGATGAATGCCAACTAGCAAGAAACCTAGGCCCAAGGCTTCCTGCCGATCGCCTCCAACCATCTAGTACCAATGAGTCAATTTGCAGTGTAAAAATCGAAGTCATTTTACAACAGTTATAAAATAATCAGAATGGCATGCTTCAATGTTGGAATGACATAACCCAGAAAATATTATAAAACAAACGTATCCAGAGTGTAAGCATTACGAATTCTAGTTTCCGTCATTGTCAGTGTATACGCATTTCAGAGTGAGAAACAAAGAGGCGAAGACAGAAAACCAAAAAAATCTAGTGAACAGTGCTAGTTTATGACTTAACTTGACAACTAAGAAAGATTGTAGTTAATAAGATTGGTCAATCTCCCAACCTCTTGATCTTGATTAAATCGGTTAATCATCGATATTAGTGATTATCACCTTGCTGAGCGAATTTCAGTCTTATGGTCTACAATCTTCTTGAGTTGTCATGAAAACTGGTAAGCTGATCTTGTTTATTGTATCTTTCTCCAGTTCACCCTGTCATCCTCCTTTTGTCTTCTATTTTGCAATGCACATTAATTTATGACTCAAAATGATAAAAAATTATGATGCCTACGTCTCGGATGTCTTAATTTATGACAGTAGTCCGTCTACAATTCCAGCATTAAAGTATGTTATTCTCATTCTTTCATTATTATTATTTCCTTTAAATCCTAGAGGAACATAGGGCTTCCGCCGCGCACCTCCATTGCATAAGGTTCTCTGCCAACGTTTTCACCTGGATCCAAGTCTGCCCACATGCTCTTATCTCCTCTTCACATCACCTCCTCCAAGTCACCCTCACACTGACGACCAACTCTCCGCTTCCCTTTCAGGTTCCGCTAGAGCAATGGCTTGTCTAGTGATGTTACTCACTTGATGGTTCGATTCCTCAGAGTATGGCCAATCCACCAACTGCATTTCTTCCTGCTTATTTGTTGCACAATCGTTTCCTGTTGGGTTGGTTCACTGATTGCCAGAGATCCCTATTGCTGATCTTTTCTGATAAACCATCTGATCTTGAATAGTGAGCATTAATGAAGGTCTGTAGTTTGTTTGAGGAGCTCTTTATGACTCCCAGTGCAAGTCTCTGATCCGTGTAGTGAGTAGCACTTACTTCACACTGGAGTTGAAAATACGGATCTTATTTTTCATTCTGAGCGCTGCTGACCTCCACACGGACTTGAGAGAAATGAAAGCTTGCCTTGCTTTCTCTATCCTCGCTTTGATATCCTCATCAGTTCCGTACGCTTGTAGTTGAAACAATGCTTCCCAGATCGGTAGGTGGTGAAGG